AGCCAGGACCCAGCTCATCAACACGGAAAGTTCTCAGAAACACAGCGGGCTGAGGGGCGGGGACTCAGCAAGAGGCAGAGCAGCGCTCCTGGTGTTCATGAAAGCCGTCGAATCCTTGAACATCGAGGGGCACTCGGTCCTAGTCCAGAAATGGCAGAGGCCAGGTAATCATTCTGTGGCTGACTCGCCACCCCCCCCCACACACACACACAGACACACACACGCACACACACACACACACCTAGCTAGGTGTCACATATCCTTTCTTGCAGACTCCACATGCGGGCTCAGAGTCCTTCTCCACACAGAGCCCGGGGCAGCCACCACCAAGGAGAGTTGGCATTTAGGATGAAACCAGCCCGTCTCCTGGATCTAATCAGCTCCCTCCTGTTATGGATCAGGACACTGGCCCAAGGTCACACAGGCAGCGGCTAGAATGGGGAATCCCCCGAGACCCCGCTTGCGGGATTTAGAAACTAAGAGTCTTCTACAGAAGGTTTGGGCCTGACTCAGGGGCTGGTTACTGGGCAGAGGCAACCCCGAACAGGGAGGTTTGGGGAGACTGGGCAGAGGGGGAGGCCTGCAGGCTCCCTTCCCTAAGTTGCCTGGGGTCCTCTTTGCCGGTGGGGACCGGACCAGGGGTAGGAGAGCTACACCCCCTGGGCCTCCCCTTATTGGGAAGGAAATCCAGACGGGAGCCAGTGAATGTGTCTCAGTCCCGCGCCCCCAGCCCTCACTTGGTATGGCCAGCTCAGCCCCAGATGTGGCCCCAGGGAAGGTGGGAGGGCAGGTGGGAGGGGCCGATGAAAAGGCAGCTGCAGGGCTGCGGCTAACACCCAGGGCTTCTTCCTGTTCATGATTTTAGGACATGAGTCATCGAGGGGCTGGGTCAGGGCCCTGAAGGGGCTGGAAGGGGAGAAGGTGGGGTTCCGCTTCCCAAGCAGCCCCTGCAAGACAGGATGCTCCCGGACCCCCGGGACCAGGTTAGAAGGAGGCGCTGGCTTTGTGGCCGGTTCTGAGACATCCCTCAGCGTGCCAATCCCAGCACCACCACAGTTATGCCTCCTACACCGTCCTCAGCTACGGCACCTCTGCAGCTCACTCCTCTGGGCAGGTTTCCCAGAAGGTGCCTAGCGGTCACCCGGGGGCTCAGGAAAATGCCAGATTGTCAGACAAGGGAGGAAGGAACCCAGGAATCTGCATGTGCAAGAAGCCGTTGAGATGATCCTAATGCTGGCTGAAGCTGAAGAGCTCATTAGAATGCCTGGCACACAGGAGGTGCTCAGTAAATACTGGTGGACAGACTGGCTACTATTTGTGTTACCTGCTGCTGCTGAGCCTTCATCTGCAACTGCTTGCCAAGCAAAGCCATAAGCTAGTGGGGTGATGGGGGCTCTCTGAGGGATAGGGGGAACCCTGGGAAGTGAGGAGAGGCTCCAGGGAGCCCGGGCCAAGGTTACAGATACTATGCATGCAGCCCATGGTCCCAGCTTCTAGAAACTAGTCGTTATCCATTACTGAGGAGCAGGTGGGCTTTTCCTGCCCCGGGGGGCTGGGGCCTAAGACATGCATGGTCTGGGAGACCAGGTTGAGTGGGTAGGGCCTGGGAGCGATTGGATTTGCTGGATTCCTGGGCCTTCACCCTGACATCCACTCATTCACTCACCCAATTGTTCATGCATTCATTCATTCATTCATTCACTCACTCACTCACTCACCCCTGCATTGTCTCCTGCATACATTAGTCTTACACGAAGTCCTCATGCACTTGAACTTTCTTGAGCCCCTCCCTCTGTGTATCATCCACTCACCAGGGAAATAGAGGGGGCCGTGACCGAGCCCCCACCCTGGAGGACCGCACAGTCCAGCCTCATGAGAGGCAGCTCTGCTGTAGGTTTAAGGCAGCTAAGCTTGGTTTGAATCGCTGTGCCTTTTACTAGCCACACAAACTCACTGTAAAGCTTGACCCTGCTCTCCCAGCACACCGTCTGCAGTCCTCTGACTGCTGGTGTAATTACTAAGGGAGAAGAGGGACTAACCAGACGGAGGGGAGTGTATGCTAACCATCTGTTGAAGTCCCAACTCTGCCTGGGTAGGTGAGGTATGGTTACCGACAAGTTTCACAGCTGGAGAAATGGGCTTCGATTTGAATAACAAAGAGGTGATCACCAAGCAAACAGGAGGGAGGGACATCCCAGGCTTACGAACCTGTGTGGACCAGGTATGGAGGTGGGAACCTGGGATTGCAGTGTGGAGGGGGGGAGGGGGGAGAGCTGCCTGGTGGGCAGGCTGGGCCGGGGGCAAAGGCTCCTGCATCTCACGGAAGAGCCTGAGCTCAGTCTGAAGGCTGGGTGAGCCATGCATGAAGGTTTCTCAGCGTCTATCAGCCTTTGGGGCTGGGTAATTTGTTTGGGGGGAAGTCCTGTGCATTGTGGAATATTTAACAGCACCCCTAGTCTCTATGCCCCGGATGCAGGGAGCACCTAGCCCAACCCCCTGCAAGTGTGACAACCCAAAACATCTCCAGATACTGCCAATGTTCCTCTGGGGCAGAGGTCAAAATCACCCCTTGGTTGAGACCTATCAATACTAGACTTGGGAGAATAACATGACTGACTGATGCTTTTGAGAGCTGGCCCTGAGCACATCATAAAGAACAGATTAGAACGGCAGAGCCCAGAGGCCAGAGGACCAGTCGGGAGGCCCCTGGAGGATCGCAAGTGAGAATGGCCAAGGTCAAAGCCAGGGCTGGGCTGAGGGGTAGGAGGAGAGGGGCCAGGTGACCTGGACTGTGGCAGCGGATTAAAGGGCCTCCCCATGCTACCGCTGAGTTTGACCAGATTCCCCAAAGACGGGTACCATGTGATGGGCGCTGAGATCAAACTCCACCTTGAAGAGAGATTCCTGGGCCACCTGTGTGGATGATGTGAAGAGACTCCATGTCGGATGGCTCACCCAGACTTTGCCATTGTCCACCTCCAGCCTAAACAGGATGTGGGGTTTGGAGAAGCCAGAGAAAGGATTTGGGGGAAGGAGTCACCATTGTGTTGAGTGCCCTCTTGGGGAGCTGGGTGGGGGTGGTGCCAGGCAAGAGGAGCTACAAGGGACCACTCTGGAACTTGATAATCACCAGAGTTTAGGGACCACAAGACGGATGAGAAGTTCTCGTCCGCTTTGCACATATCCCGGACCTGGCACACAGCAGGTGCTCCACAGAGGTTTCTGACTGAGTTAGAGCTTTGGCTGGAAGGGTCTGAGGCTGCAGACGGGATGGAGATAGGATGCACAGGTATAAGCTGAGCTGTGGGAGAGGTGGAGTCAGAGGCACTCAATGGGTTTGAATGTGTAGGGGACATTCATGGAGAACCAGCTGCCCCTACCCCCACCAGGTGACACCCAATTTGTGGCCTTTGGCTCTCTCTTATGAATCAGGGAGTCCTCAAAACTGCTCCCAGATGAGACTTGTAAAGGCCAGAGAAATTGTCACATGAGTTTTAGAGGCTGATGCTGGAGTTAAGGTTGTGGGCTGGCCGCACGCTCAGCGAGGCCCATTCCCACAAATGTGTGGGAACCAGGTGATTTCCCAGCCTCCTGATCAGGAGGTGGGATTTTCCATCTCCCAAGAGTCACTTCCCAGTTCCTCACTCAGCATCTAGAAGCACCGTCCTTGCTGTCTCCATCAGGGGGGGTTGGTGGCCCAGAGCAGGGGTCCCTGTACCTCTTGGGGCAGCCTGCAGTGAAGGAACAAGGGGACAGAATCCCTGCTGCCACCCTGCCCACCCAGCCCCTCAGAAATGTCCTGTGTGCTGGGGACAGGGACTCCCAGGGCTGGGGAGTAAGTTCTGGTCACACAGGGCTGACCTTGGCATCAGGATTGACATCCAAAGCAAAGAGGGTGGAGATGGCAGTTAGTGTGGGCGCTCAGTCATGATGTAAACTCCAGGGGGGCCCGCTCTGATGGCCCTTGGCTTGGCCAGCCCCCCCTGGGGGCCCCTACAACTTCCCGGAAGGCTTCTGACCCAGCCACCTGTCAGCCTCCTGGATAAGGGTTCAAAAAGCAAGGTGGGACAGAGTCTGGCTCACTGGGAAGAATGTTTAAGGACAGAAAAACAAATGAATCCTAGCAATAACAGCTAATAGGTGTACAGAGTGTATTGAATTACATATATACTTTGCAAGTATAGATACATATAGAATCCATACTGTATTATGTGTTATGTATCTTTTCACCATCATAATAACTCTGTGAAGTTAATGCAGAGATTCAGACCCAGGTGGCCTGGTCCCAGAGTCACAGTGAGTGAATGATTGAGAATAGCAGTGGTCCCCCAAATTATTAATGTAGAGTTTGTTTTTTTTTCTCCCCAAATTGGGACCACACCTCAACAGGAGTGGGGGGCTTGTGGGAGAGGGAAGGGTAGGTGTCATAGGGCAGGAGGGGGAAGTCATCTGAAGGGTGTGCCCCACATCGCAGGAGGAGCAGCACCCCAGAACAGACCACCTGTTGAGCGACAGGCACAGCCCCAGGGCAACCACAAATCTGGTGGGATCTTGTCCCTAGTGTGGGTCTCCTGCCCCCACACTGAGAGGGGGTGTCCGGGGAGGGGGCATTAGAGGGAAGTTGAGGGGTCCCCGAGGGCTGGGGGTGGCTGACGCTGGATAAAGCACCGAATTGGCAGAGAGGGCCAGGATGGGCTCTTGCGAGAGTGAGGGTCCTGGTGGGAGGGCCTGCCGGGCAGCAGGCTGGGACGGCGGAGGGGGTGGCGTGGGAGGAAGGAGGAGGAGCAGCGGGAGGGAAGAGCCCCGCCCCGTTCCGATAGCCCCGCCCCCTGTTTTCCATAGCCACGCCCCTAGCCTCTAGCCCCGCCCCCACGCCTCTAGCCGGGCGCGCGGTCTTTCGCTTTCAGTGGAGGCGCGGCGGCGCAGCGGAGCGGAGCGGAGGAAGCCCCGAGGAGCCTGGGCCGCCGGCCGGACCTGCCGCTGCCGCCGCCACGCACCCCATGGCTCCCGCCGCCCTCGGGGCCGTGCTGGCCTTCGGACTGCAGCTCTGGGCCGCGGGCCACGCCGTGCCCGCCCAGGTGGGTGCCTCACGGGCCCCGGAGTGCGCCTGCCCTCACGCCCACCCGGGAGCGCCGGCCGCGAGCTCCGTCCCGGGGCGCCGAGACCGGGGTGCGGGGCGCGGGAAAACGGGGGAGCAGCCCCGCGCCCCGCCGGGTCGGACACTGCGCGCCGCTGGGGGGACCCGCTTGGCACCGAGGAGAGGGTGTGGGGGGCCCCAAACTCTGGCTCCCGGGGTCGGGGCGCAGCCAGGTCCCAACGCCAGGACCGGCCGGGGCGTTTGGACATCCCAGCGACGTTACCCGGTGACTGCCGAGACCGGGCTTCCCGCGGGGCAGGCGGTGTCTGCTCTGGGGTGCTGCGCCTCCTGCAACGCGGGGCACCCTCTTCAGAGGACTCCCCCCTCCTCTGGGTCCTGGCTTTCCTCTTTCTTAGAAATACAAGGGCCGCGTGTCTGCAAGGAGAGGGCCAGGTGTACAGCAGGCGCCTAATAAGGGCACAGGGGAACCGTGGGCTCATTTCCTTCCCAGGAGCCTGGCGTGTCCAGCGGCCACTTGAGAATCTCTTCTCCGGGGGCTGTGGGGTAATGAGGAGGAGATGGTGTCCTCGGTTTCCCCTGGACCCACCTGCCCTCGGGGCCTGTCCTATGCTCGCGCCCTGGGGACCAAGGAGGAGAGGGAGGACTTGTGGGTGTTTTCAAGGGGCCCCAGGAAAATGGAGAGGGCAGGAAGCCCAGAGCCGTTATTCTAACTGCACCCACCGACCAGCAAGGCAGTGGAATGATTTGTCCTCTGCTTTTGTGGCTGCCTCCATGCTCTGGTCCAATAGAGGGACCCATTTTACAGAGAAGGAAAACTGAGGCTCAGAGAGCTCCTGGTATTTCATGGAAGGACGTGGGGGGCAGTCTTCCTCCAAAGGGTCATCTCTCCCCCCTCCCCCCCATGGCTGGGGAGGGGGTGGGCCTTCCCCATGGACATGTAGTTTGTAGGGAGCCATCTTGGATGTCTTGACCAGGAAGGAAGGTGGGGGAGGTGGCCTTGGCTCATGTGGCCCTGTGTGGTGACTCACCGGCAGAGGCTGAAATTTCAGAGTCCAGTTCTTGAAGGCAGAGGAGGGGCTGTCCAGCCAGAATGGACTCTCACGCAGTGGATTGTGGGAGACTGCCCCAGAGGTTGTCCTGGAAACAGCGGTGGTCCTGGGTGGAAAGTCCCAGCGTGAGAGCTGAGTGTGGGTGCGGATGGCGGTGGTCCTCAGCCTGACCATGGTGTCACCCTGCTCCCGTGCCGTGAGCCCCTGGGGTGGAGGCACAGGTGTCTGTGCCCCACGGGACACCAGGCCCGACCGAGTCCTGGATGGAGATGAGGGGTTTCCCTTGCATCGCTCACTTCCCTCCCCTCTCCGGCGCTGGGGTCACTGCAGGCTCCCTCCTCCTGGTACTGTCTCCAGAGCCTCCGAGCTGATCTCTTGGCCCTGCGCCCACTCCCGTGGACCCTCCTGGTGGCATTGCGGGGGCCCCTATAGTTGGAGCATCTCTCTCCCTGCCTGAGAGGCCTCTGTGGTCCCCAGTGGCCGAGGCAGAAACACCGCCCCCCTAAACCCTCGTGTCTCAGGGCAGAGGTATCCAGGTTATTGCTGCCCCCTCCCTGCACCTGTACTTGACACCCTGTGAAACAGTGTACCCTGTGCTATTAAGGGGGCACCCCTTGCCCTGACCTCAGGGCCTTTGCAAATGCCACCCCCTGCATCCTTCATTCTTCCGGCTGGCTCTGATCCTTTTCCCTTTCCCTCTCAGAGCCCTTATCCCTCTCAAGGACAGGCTACATTCTGCTTTAAAAAATATTTTTATTTTTATTTTTATTGATTTGAGAGAGGAAAGGAGAAGGAGAGAGATAGAAACATCCATGATGAGAGAGAATCATTGATCGGCTGCCCCGTGGGGGTCAAGCCCGCAACCCAGGAATATGGCCTGGCCGGGGATCGAACCCTGACCTCCTGGTTCATAGGTGGTCGCTCAACCTATAAATCAAGTTTTTATCCGCCTGGATACATAGAAAGTTCCTTGAGGGCAGGGATTGAGGAGCCCTCCTCCTCCTCGTTATCACCAGCACCATCGCTCCAGTTTCTGGAACATCTCCTGAGAGTCTGGTGCTGTGCCAGGAATTTACCGCAGAATCCCCCTGGAATTTTCCTTCCAGCAGCTCCTAAAAGGTGGACGCTGCTGTTCCCATTTAGAGATGTGGGAACTGGCCGAGAGGTGGTGGCGTTTCCCAGGATTGCAGAGCTGAGGGCGAGGAGGGGGGAGGCAGGGATATGAATGCAGGTCTGCCTGATTCCGGAGCCCTTCGCACTCGCCTCCCCGTGCCCGGATCCCTGAGGGCCGTTCCTGCCCTCAGCGGGTCCCTCGCACACAGTGGGTCCCTCGCACACAGCGGGTCCCTTGCACACAGTGGGTCCTGTGTAATGTGGGCTGTCACTGGACCGAGTCACACAGAGAGCCCAGGGCGACCTGAGCCGGCTGCAGGGACAGCAGACTTGCTGTGTACTCAGGGCGTGTGCCTCCTTTAAAAGCTGTGTGTGTTGGCTGGGATGGAATGGATTGGACGTTCCTTCGTTCATTGGACAAATAAATGCCAGTGAAGTTGGGAGGATAGGTGAGTGGTTGGTGCCCTGTAATGGGGGTGGGCAGGGCCCCGTCAGTCTGGCTTTTTGTTATTGTCCGGGAGGAGCTGAGGGGATCCCTACCTGGCTAGGTCTGACCTACCTACCTCTGGACATCTTGGGGTGTGGGGGCTGCTGTTTGCCTCCTCAGTACCCAGCTCAGGTTACGGGAGAGGCGGGGACTTCCAGGCTGGCCTGGGGGTGTCCAGGTGTGTGCTGGCCCAGATGTCCCTTTGCCCCCTCCCCGACACCCTCGCTGGGCACCTGGGTGCTGCATGAGGATGTGGCCCAGGCATCATTGCTTCCGAGGGCAGTGGTCGGGTGGTCTGGCACCTTGAGGCTGTGCCATTCATCCGTTCACCTTCCCAGCAGTCACAGACGCCTACTCCGAGCTCAGCCCAGTGCTGGGCTCCAGTGACCACAATGACCACGACCCTTCAGCCTTCTGGGAGCCACGCTGCCAGTGCTCACTGACCTGCGCTTTGCCCCTCACTGCCCCTGGCACCCAGGCCAGGGTATCAGCCTCTGCTTTCCTGCGGGCCTGAGAACTCCCCAGGAGTTCTGTCCACCTCCTCTTCCTCTCAGGGCTAAGAGGGTATGGAAGGCCTGGAGCCGATCAGACTGAGAACCTGCCAGTGTCGGGTGGCCCTCCCTCGTCCTGGCCCTCACAGGACTGGAGATGTTTTACTGCCCTGCCCATCCAGTGCTTCGTGGGCGAGGAGCCGTGGAGATTGTGGGGAGGGAGGGAGGGGAGGAAGAGATCGATGCCCGCTGTGCTGTGTTGTACGTGCCCGTGTGCTACGTTCAACTCAGCACATCGGCTTAATTCTCAGTGCTGTGCCCGCTGGCTTTTTTCTGTTCCTCAATCAGGCCCCGCCCATGCCCGCCTCCGGGCCTTCGCACTTGCTGTTCCCTCTGCCTTGACCGTTCCTCCTGCTGGCATCTCCCGGTGTCCTTCCCTCCCTTCCTCTGCTCTTACGAGGAAGGAGGTCTTCTCTGGTCAACCTGCCTGAGAAAGCTCCCATCGGGCACTCTCACTCGCTGCCCCGCGTTGTTTTCCTAAATAACACTCATGGCCTCTCCTGGTTTTTCACTTTTACGTGGGTCTTCCACATAGAGTGCACGCACGGCGAGGACAGGGACGTGCCCACCGCGATAGAGCGAGTTTCTCTGGACATCTGGGTGCTGGTTGCGTGGGCTGTCCTGCTCGTCAGAGGATATTCAGCAGTGACAGGACTGGCTTCCAGTCCGTCTCCCTCTCTCTGGACTGTTTTTTCTGGGCTTGTCTCTGCTCCATCGAGTCTGCAGAGGCCAGGGGTGCTCTCCTTAAAGGGCTCACCCCTCCTTCCCACCCTGGCTCACAGGGGCCACTCACCGGCTGAGGCTCGGGTAGGAACGTGCTTTGTCCAGAAGCTGGCAGGGAGGGGAGCTGGGGCTCGGGGTAGGGACAGAGGTGCTTAGGATGGGGAGATAGTGGAGATGCCGTGGCTCCCAGTTCCGGCCACTCTGCCGGCCACGGGGAAGCAGTATTGATGACTTAGGGAATGGGCCCGACCTCAGAATCCGACAGAACCTCAGCACAAATCCTTCCTCTGCTCTTTACAGACTGGGTGTCCGTGGCATGTCTGGGAGCCTCTGTGTTCCCATCAGTAAAATGGGACTGATCCCCACCTCCCTGGCTGGTTGTCAGGATTAAGAGTACTTTATGGGTGGCAAAGCCCGTGGACAGCTATTGGAGCATTGGTGGCTTTGCAAGTCTGACCGCCTCTGGTCCTGGGGCAGTGCCAGGCTGAGCGGGGCCACTGTGGACTCCGGCTCTCTGTCTGAGCCACAGAGCCATGAGGTGTGGGTGGCAGACCGCCAGCTGCCCAGAGCTCCTGCTCAGCATCCCTGAGGTCAGTCTCCCTGCTGCTGGGCTGTGCTTCCTTCCCAGATGCCCCCGTGCTGGGCCTCTCGCACCCCCTGCCCAGCGGCCTGGCTGTAGGCCCCGAGGAATGTGGCACAGCCTGTCAGGAAATCAGGATCCCGCCCCTCCCCACTCCTTCCATTGAGTGACAGGTCCTGAGCAGGGTAACCCCTGTGGGAAGAGGCTGCAGGAGGCCCCCGCTTTCCCACCTGCAGGGTGGGCATGGCTGGCTCCAGCTGCTGTCTCTAAATAGTCTCTTCCATCTCGCCTGGCAGGTTTGGCTCAGTGGATAGAGTGTCGGCCTGCAGACTGAAGGGTCCTGGTTCAATTCCAGTCCAGGGCATGTACCTTGGTTTCAGGCTCCTTTCCGGTCTAGGCCCTGGTTGGGGCTCATGCCAGAGGCACCGAATTGGTGGGCTTATTTCCCATTAGTGTTTCTCTCTGTTTTTCCCTTTC